ACGGCGTGATGACGGACCCGCCGAGGAGGTGCGGTGGGGCCGGGCGCCGAGGGAGCAAGGGGGCACATAGACTGGTCTAGGCAGAGATCAGCCGTAATAAATGTCCTCCTCGTTATCAGAAGGAGCGACGGAGCCAGCTAATATAGATGATTTTATGAAGATGAAGCATTTTTTTTTTCCCAAACCAAAGTCGATCGCTCCCTTGAAATGGAAGGGGGGCGATGCCTAGAGTGATATGACCGCAGGACGCGAGGCCCTGCTTGTATAGTCAAGGGTGCAAAGAGTATTTGGCTCTACGAAGAGTCACACCCTTACATAGACACCATCTCATTGCATTATTTTGATTATGTAGATTAGAGATTAATGAGGGTATTACAAATCAGGAGGAAGCATATTTTTGGTGTACCTTCAAATCTATTCCCATCTCCCGCAAACGTGAAGAATCAAGAGGTGCCGTTTGCTCACATCCGGAGAGCTCCATCGTGTAACTTCTTAATCAAAAGTGTTCGCCATCATCCAAAGACGTTAATCCTCCCCCCAATGTTCTTATACTCCTATTTTTTTTCTCTCCTCAAGAATCAAGGTGAAAGAGGAAGAAAAGACTTTTTTTTTTGTTTTTTTTTAAATTTCCATTTTTTTCTGAAGAACCTAATTCCCCTTTCTTAGCATGTGTTTCCATGGCGATGGTTCCCAGGACCCGCGTGGCGCCGTTCCGAGTCCGGATCCTGGAATTATCAGGAGGGTTCTGTAGCGTCCGCGACTCCCAGCTCTCAATCATTTTGCCGCCGACAGGAGACACTCCTGTGTTTTGTCGAGAAGGTTCCGCCTTGAATGAATCAGAGTTTTCGAGGGGGAACCGCAGCGCATCTCGCCGTACGCCAGGACAGAATCAATAAACACAAGTAGGACGCAAAAAAACAGACTTGTTGGTGCAACCGTCTAGCTTTAAGACTCTCGCCGAGCTTCCGAGTGAAAGCTCCACAGCCATTTTTTTTGACTCAAAATCAAGCCAAAAAAAAAAAACCAACAACAACACAAAAAACCCGGAGAGAACAACCTTTGAACACAAAGGAGAAGAGGTACACCTGACACAATGTATAGTGACATTGTAGTATTTTTTTTCCACTCATTTCCAAATAACTGTACACACCTCTGCTCCATTACGAAATCTTTTTTTACAGATGTCTAGAAAAATGGAGGAATGTGATTCTTTCCGCCCTTTTTGTACAGATTTCAAGCACATCGCTCTATTTATAGAAACACGTTGGAAGCGCGGGGCAGTTTGTTTCAGCCCTGCTGACGTAACAAAAGGTCATTTTTTTGGTCCACAAAGGAACGGCTTTAACATGCCTCCTTATAGCCAATAGTTAAATCAAAAAAAACCAAGAACGTTTCGAATGCAATTACTGATCTGATCAACGTATTTATTACTGCATTTGTGTATTTATTGTTTTTTCCCTTTTTTCTTTCCTCTCTCTATTTATTTGGTTATTTATTTATGCTATCTATATACTGTAAGTATTTATTTAACGATGCTCTGTATGTCTGTGTGAAACTGAAGACTTTTTTCTGATGGGCACTTTTAGCTGTAGAATCCCATCGTAATACCAAAGATTAACATTGCCTCCCTGAATGTACGGCCTGAATCCCTAAACCCAGTACCCCATCCTAAACCCGATCCAGCCCGACCCACCCAGTGATGTTACGTATCTCTCTATCTTTAAGGCCTGGCCTCTTTTGTTTTTGTTTATTTTTTTCGTTTCGTTTTGTTTTTTGTAGAATAATGGGGAAATTCTTTACTCTTGCAAATGTCTCTGCTGTCAGCTCTTAACGCCAAGGCCAAAGCTTGTTTGAATGTTGTGATAATATTTATAATAATGAATAATACTATGAATAATAACAATAATGACAAAGATGATGTGGCATCCCATAGGCTCACAAAGTTGCTTGTAAAAGTTGTGTTTAGACCAATGCCATGTGGCGTGCGGAGTGTGTTCAGTGTCTGGGGACCCACTTGAAGCGCCGTCCAAAGTCGAGTCCTTCAGGGTCACATGCAAACATGCGTACCGTGTGTCTGCTTTGGGGGGAAATGCATGGTTGTGACCCCTCCATCTCCCTCGCCGAACCCCCTTCCCCAGTGCAGTGGCGACACTCCCGTCTATGTTCAACTCAGTGTGATCTCACCGTCCTCCACATGCCAATCCCTTCTGCCAGTTGTCTCAGTTCCAAGAAGGTTCGTAGGGTTCACTCCCGGTCTTGTGTTTTCGTCCTCGTCTGAGGATTTTGGACTTTTGGTCCCTGGGTTCTGAAGGTCTCGGAGTTTGGTCTTATAGGGTTCTTAATGCATTCCTCGTCTTCTGGGGGTCTTGGGTTTTTTTGTACTCGAAGGTCTTGGAGATCACTCCTGGCCTTGCGTGGTCAAAGGGTTCGTCCCTGGCCCGGAGGGGTTCTTCCGGTTTGTTTCTCATCCTTTAGGGATCTCTAATTAGTTTGCAAGGCCTCGGGGGTTTGTGGCCCGGCCTTCTAAGGGTCCGTTGCTCATCTTGTTTGTTCCAGGTCCTCAAGGATTCCCCCAGCAATTTGCACAGCACAAGTGATTTGATTTTCCAGCGTTTTTGTGTGCTGGATGCCTAAATCAGGAGAAAGTCACCCAAGATCTCATTCTCTGACCCCTGTGTAAATGCTGCCAAAGAGTGGCAAGGCTAGCTTGGCAGGTTTCCACCCTCTCTCTCTGTCTCTCTGGCTCATTTTCTCTCTCTTTCTCTGTCTTTAACGTTGGAAGGGGCGGATTGCCGGGGCCCCCTTCACAGCGTGCACTTGAAAGACGGGCGGTCATGAAAGAGGCCATCGACTTTTTCGCGGACTTCAAAGGGGAGGCTTTTTTCATCCCGTCTCCTCTCTGGGTATCTGGTCTGGGGTCCGCTCTTGGCCAGACCTGTGGGCTTTAGGGGGCATTCAAAGGGGGCGGGGGGGAGATCAGAGAGGAGGCTGAATCATCCAGAATGAGGAAGGTGGTAGTGGTGCGCGAGGGGGGGTTGTTTGAGGAACAGGAGGTGTTGGGAGTAGTGGGGCATGGAGCCGAATTAAACTTTAATGAGCAACAATTGTAAGCATGCTGAGAGCGAAGGGGGCGGCGGTGGGGATGTGCGGTTGAGTCTGTACAGGGGTGAAGAAATATAAAAAATGAAAGAGCTTGAAGGCTCCTGTGCCGACCCCTGCTCGCCGCTGTCATCGTATCAAAGCTGAGGTGACACCTTTCAGGTTTCTCTTTGTCTCTCTGACTGGGAGCCTAAAATGGAGACGGAGCTTTTTTGTATCGAGCCACCTTCTGCTCCGTGTCAAGCAGGGAAGCTCTTCCTTTTCTGTACAGAGGAGAGGCGGGAGGGGAGGAGTGAATCCAGTTGGCTGCTGCAGGTGATCCGCATTGCCATTTTAGCCTGCGGCACCCCCTAGTGACTTTTCTAGAAACTTGACCCAGAGACGAGCCTGGCAGCCGAGGCCATTGCAGAGCAATTCTGAGGAGCGCGTAAATAATGTAATAGCAGAACTGAAAGCTAATATATAACTTTCAGATTAAAAAAAAAATTAAAAAACCAAAAAAAAAAATCAACTTTTTTTTTTGATGACGTTTAAACCAAAAGAAACAACCAAAGATTGATGGGCGACTGCTGAATCAGTATGTATCGTAGGTAGTTTTAGCAGTTTCCTATCAGAGCTACCGTAGCACTCAGAGGATTCAAAAAAAAAAAAAAAAAGCACCAGTGGGGTTCCGCGTGCTGATTATTTATGTTGCGCAAAAAACAAAAAACAGTATTATGTTGAGCTGGAACTGAGAAACTGACATGAGGCAGTGTCTTCAGATGGAAGTCTCTGTGAACCCCAGTGTCCCCCCTCGTCTGTCCCCCCGCCTTCACCCCTGTGTGTACATGAAGACTTTACCCATCTACCTCAACTGTGTGAGATGTTGTGTGGCAAAGATATTCCTTAACCAAAGAATCCATCCTGTCAGGGTGTCTGTCTATCTTATCTATCTTATCTTGTCTGTCCATCCGTCTCTTATCTTCATGCCTTTTACTCCGAAACCAAATGTGCTGGAATCAATCCGTAACAGGAGCCGAACGAGGCGTCCCGTCCAGCCAAAGCTGAAGTCCAGTATGCTAGAGTGTCCCATTGATCCATTGTTCTGTATATAAATAAAAATCATTCTCAAGACCAAAAAAAAAAGAAAAAAAAAGAAGAAGGAGGTGACAATCCAAGCAAGGAGGATCTTGCTGTAATCAACGTTGCCTATTCCTTGTTTTCTGAAAACTCGAATCATGCGACTCGCTGTAACAGGAAAAGCCCAAGAATCAAGCGTTCATCCCAAAAACAAACAAAAAAAAAGGTCAAAGGAGACAAGAAGCTATTTTTCCACATTTGTAAGCCACCCCCCTCTTCCCACCCCTGTTTTTTCCAAAAATGTTTAGTGTAGTTGAAATACTGTTCGATCCCACTGTTGTAAGTAGGAATTAAATGAAATCCATACAAAAAGCTTTAAACGGGGACGAGCTGAGGGGAGTGTTTGACTGAGTCTGGGTTTCCTCGGCTCCGACTCGGCCCACCATGCTTTATCGTGCCATTCTCGTCCATGTGTTAGACTTACTAATGAATGTGGCTAACCAACCAAAGGCTTTAAGAAAAAAAAAAAAAAAAAAAAAAGGAAGATACACAACACTTTAAACGTCAATCATGGTGGGACATTTTGTATCAACAACTAAAGAAAAATCCCTTTGAATACCTCATGTGAAAATTGTTTGTTGTGATGTTGCACTAAAAAAAAAATAAAAATGACTCATTTGTAACCCAACACCGCGCTCCGTCGACTTTCTTCTGACCTTGTTGGAGGTGTTTGCTGGGAAGCTCTCCGGGTTTTTAAAGGCAAATGCAGACGGCGGTATTCTTGGAAGACGCTGTTATCCGATACCTTTAACCGTTTATTCATCCGAGAGAGAGTTCATCAATTCAAATCTTCAGTAGCTTTACTTTATTGCATGACAGTATATGCTTCTTTTAGCTCCATCAACACATTTAAATCCAGTTTGATTTTCTCATTAATGCACATTACTGCATCCACGAATTCTCCCCACAAAACTGCCTTTTGAATTGTAGTGGATTTCTAAAAGGCAGACGTTGGGTTGAAACACTCCCCGTCTTAACGATAAAGCTTTCTGATGATGCGTCACTAGTTTCATCCTTTCCTGCATAAGAAGCCGGCTGTTCAAGCGATTGTTTTACATTTTGGGAAACACCTTTTTTTTTTGTGCAGCCAGTCAGGAGAGAAGATCAATACCGCTCCTATATCTGTATGCTAACTGTAAAGCTACAGCAAAGCAGCTGATCTGCTTTCCAAAGGTTACCTCTAAAGAAAGCTCCCTGCACCAAGTCAAAAAAAATAGTCCAGCACTTAAGTTGTAATAAAATCCTGACTTGTTGTTTTTACACTCGGATGGACAGGCAGATTTTTTCTACCCTTGGGCGGAGGTCTTTTAGCTTCCCCCCCTTGCTTCTGATCTCAGCGCTAAGCTTAACTAACTAGCTGCTGACTGTACGTTTCCATCTCCTCTCCCGAATCTTTGCAAGCGAATGCTGAACTATTCCTTCAAAGATCTCTGTGGGATTTTTTTTTTTTGGTAAAAGTTGTTTGATAAGAGAAAATAAAAACATACCAAAAATACTTTTCTTCTTGCACAAGACAATGTTACTTGGCCCGGAGGCAGCTGGGATGCGGTTTGCCATCACATCAGCATGTTCACAGGATATTTACCAGAGACACCGGTATTGATTTTAGCCTTCCTTCTGTCGTAACATGTAAAAGCTAAATTGACCAACAAGCCAATTTCCCAAAGAAGTCAATGGAATCCTTTCAGACGGTTTTTATGGCAGGTTTAACAGACAAACCCGAAACCGGTGGTGGTGAAAAAAAAAAAAATCTGATTCGTACTTTTACTGCAACTTCACTGTACCTAAATGTTGACACAGGGCCGACTGGTAAACCCATAAATCCAAACTGGCCGCGCATCCCTAATCCTCAGCAAAGAGCGCGTCCGTCTCTTTATTAAAGAATCTGACACAAACAAGCTCACAGTCCGACAAGACAAATAAAGTCTGTGATTACATGGCGAGAAAAATCAAGTTTCTCCACAAGTTATACATTTATATATATATATTTTCTTTTTTTAAAAAAAGCACCAGCAGTGCTGCTTTTAAAATTTAGTATTTAAAAATTTTAAGTAAAAACGAAGGATATTACATTATTCACTTTGCAACAGATTCAGTTGCTACATTATGGGATAGCAGCCGTACAGAGCGATGCCACACTGGTCGTTCTTGTTGCGCGCCATCCGGATGTAGCCCTGATCTCCGAATTTAGCTCCCCAGCTGGATGAGAATGAAAAAGAAAGAAAAAAAAACACATGACTGACGGGATAGTAGAAAGATTTCAGGGATAATGAATTCATCTATCATCAAATACAGTGTATGTTAATGCATTGAAATGAATGGGGTGAATATTTACAGAGAAAGGAAATTTATTTTGAATGTACAGTCGTGACTCGATAATCCGACCCTTAACAATCCGACAGGTTTTTAAGAAAAACAAACAGAACCCATAAAAACAGCCTTAACATAGCGACAGCCTTGGATTGTGACTCCGACATGACATTTAATGTCACCAATCAGGATGACGGCGTATTATCTGACTGAACAATCCCACAGATTGGCTACGTTCACACTGCAGGACTTGATGCTCAATGAGGATTTCTTTGTGACTTCCTTCACGTTTCCAGTTCAATGCGACTTGTATGTGATCTGCTGTGTGAACTTCATACGACCCAAAAGTGTCCCGCATGCGCAGAAGAGGACACGACGACGTCACACGCAGCGAGCGTGCTCAGTGTTTACGGAAATAAACATGGATAATGGCGGTGGCGGGGGAGTGGCCCATCAAGCCCTCCTTGTATCTCGACCTCCACCTTGACAATCCGACAGCCTTGCTATCCGACATAAAAGAAGGATTTACATTTAGTGTCGGATTATCGAGTCACGACTGTATTTTTAATCAAAAATTGGTTTCAAAAAGTGATCTTTCATGTATTACGTGACGATTAATGAAACTTCTCTACTACATACTAATAATTTCAACCCCACAGTCTTGGTTGATGGTAGCGAGAGAAGTTTTTAAGTCTGCACTCGTCAGCAAAATACTTCCCTGTTTCACTTCTCGTCCAGATCTGTCAGAATACGTGACGGTGAAGCAATATACAGGATCTATAAATGAACGGGGTTTGTGGGGCCAGAACACGTCTCACCTGTTCTTCACCAGCCAGTAGTCTTGTCCGTTTAGTGTGCCGTAGCCCACCGCCAACACCCCGTGGTTCACCTTCTGGGTGCAGCTGGAGTCATCGTACACTCCTGAAATATTGGGGAGCAAATCTGATTATATTCATCTTTTTTCATGGCTCTCTATTCTAGCAGACGAGGAGGAATAGTGTCTTGCTAAAGAAAACTTCTCAAATAAGTAAAGAAATAAAGAAAGAAAATAAAGATATCGCCTGTGTCGCTAATGCTGTGTGACTTTACCGCTCCTGTAGAAAGTAAATCTGGGCCGCGTGGCATCAATCGCAACGGAAATGGGTCCGATGGTGGCGAGCGCCTCCTTCAGAGCCCCCTCGTCGTCTTGGGGCAGAAAGCTGTAGCTGGAGCAGTTGGCGGCGCGGTACGAGGGGTTGTAGCGGCACGGTTGTTCCTGGAATCACAGGACAAAACAGGGCTTAAAGGGTCTGTTTAAACTAATAACTATTAACTATTTTGTTGTGCTGCAATACGACGTACAAGATTGGCCCGAGGCAGAACTGAATGAAGCAAAACAACTTTAAACAAATGGACTCAATTTGGCTTAATCTTGTTATAAATATGTTTAAATCATAATAAACTGCCCGAGTTTGTTGCAGTGCCCCCTAGTGGCTTAAAGGGGGAACTTTCTGGGTGATATTCTAACTGATTTTGGAAAATGAGCTCGCTGCTTCTCAACAAAACTTTGTCAGACAGTCTGCCCCATCATGTCCCAGTATAGAAAACTGCTTTGGTCTTTTCTTAGCAGCTGAATTCCGGTGCCACATGACAGCATAGACTACTTCACATCACCGATAGAGTCTTTATTCATTTTTTGGCTGAATTAAAACCACGACACCTCCGCGAAGGCTGCAACAGAAAATGCCCTCCTCCTCCACACAAACAACAGCGAACCAGATGAAGCCTGGAGGACAAACATGTTGTCCGCTCCGATTAATTTATTGTTGCTCCAAAGAGACATTAACAGCAGACCACAGACAAGTGAGGAGAGTGTTGCTGTCTGCAGCCTGAAGGGCTGGACTTAACTTCATGCTGCTGTTCATACACCCACACTGTTGTCTCGCTCAAGAATCGGTTCAACGTAAACCTATGTTTGCATTGGATTCCTGAACTGTTTCCATTTGAAAAAGAGCATTGTAGTGTGATTTGTAAACTTGGAAAGCCATAATCCAAAAGTAATATAGTGGGGAAAGCACTGATTTACACCCATCCATC